CGTTGGACTATTCAGGCCGAGCAGAATCCCCGATGTATCAGGTGAGCAGTGAGCTGGGATGAGAAACACAGATAAGGTAGACCGAGGAATCGTACAGATAATGAGATATACACTGTGGGGTTGTCTTCTGTCCTGCTTATGGAACATCGCCGAATAATTTGGTGTAACTATCATGTTCAAGGATGATGATAATATGCGTATATATACACACGTACACGGAACCGAAAGGCCGGTAAATTGGTCTGCTCTCTGCCTAGTGAGAAACGTGCATCCTTGCTTTCGAATACACCCGGCCGAATTTTATCGTCCTCCCACGCGCTAGACTACGCATCCGACATGATTGGCAATGTCAATTTAGGAAAATAAGCGAAATCCGAAATACACTGAATTAGAATGTAAGTAGTCTGTTTGATACCATTTTCCAAGCATCACAAATCCTTGAAACCTGCAAGGTCTGAGACCATGTTCAGTAGAGCCACCTTTAGCCAGGTAGTTTGGCTTGGCGCTTGCATGTAGTCTGTCCGGGTCGAAGTGAGTGATTTCTCACACAAAAAATATCCCGACCGATCTGAACTACCATTCAACAAAATGCCAGCTGAACAAACATCAAAGGTGGACGGGATCATCTGAACAACACCGAATTGGGAACTTCCCGCACACCACATCGTATCGGTCTTTCTCATTGCGCGGTGACACTCAGGTTACGTCTTTGTTTACATTTGTCTGATGGTTGACCGGCACCTACGTGAAAAATGCGTAGTTGATCAGAACACCGGTCTACCGGTTTTGATAGAATTCCGAAAGCTAAAACCCGATCTAACGTGAACCGATTTATGGGGGATTGAATAATTGATCTGTTGTTCTTCACAATGGAAATAGTGAAACTTATTATTCACCAGGCTCATTTTTCGCTCATAAATGAGAAAACACATTTTAGTATTTACAGTTGAACTTAATTGTTTGTACCAGTTTGTAGTCACTGTTTGTTCTAATTAGTCAACTCCATCAACTTGATAATTTATGTTATTCTTTATTGAACAATTGCCGTCTGAAGTTGTAGTGCGCAAATGTTTCAGCTGAAATGTTTTCTCATCAAAGCGCTCGGTCACTCCTTCCGGTCTCGGAGAAAGCCCTCTTCCAGTGCATCTTCTAAAACCGTTGCTCATTAACCTAAATCGTTGCTCGCCCTTTGTTTAAGGTATATCCACCAAAATGCAATCAATAAAGGGCAATAAACCTGATGATAAGTTTAATGCACATATAATTTGTCTGAGAGAATAGGATATTCCAATAACATCCAAAGATCATTCACCACCCTAGTTCGGTTTCACGATTGATTTCATTTACTTTTCTGGGTAAGGCTCATTCTTTCCTTGCCTTCTTTAGCATGTGTGCGGCCTTTGGATTTTGCCTCCTATCTCACCTTCACTGCATTCCCGTCCTTCAAGTTCGCATAGTTTTAGTCACCTTTCTATCCATATCGTTAAGACTGTCGCTCTCCGAGGTATGTCCGTTATACACCCTCTCTATCTCTCTGTCACTCACATTAGCTTAGCCGGTTTCTATCAGAGGTGAAAGTTGTTTTAAGCAAAACGATTTAAACATTTCAGTTCACTTCCACCCCGTTCCCTGTCCTCATTGTATAATTTTTTCACCTTTAAACACGCAGTCCACATTCGGATCTTCAAACGAATGTTCTACAAGACGCTGGACATTTTGGTTACCTGGCTCAGTAACGCATTATCGCACTGCGTTGTGGATGAATTAATACTGCATAAATCTAAACGGGAGTTGGGATATTCATTCCCATCCCCCCCAAATGAATTATTCCTATTAGAAACGAGTAATTGTGCTCAACTTCGGTTGTTCATACTTACACGCGGAGTAAAAACCGGTCATTGCACGAAGTTGACCTTTCAGTCTTATTTCAAGACACAAGTGTGCATCAATCAACCCGAGGTCTGGGATCTCAGAGACACCAGATACATAATGCATCCCTAAGACCTGTGGTCGAGCCACTAAAAGCATTTCAATGTCCCTAGATAGAATGTGCTTTTTGTGCTTGTACAATCTGCAGGATATGACAAATGTATGGCTGTTACGACGCAAACCCACTTACCACTCACGTAGATTTTCCATGTGGGTTGGCCGCAATGGATTAGGATATTGTGTGAAGCACAGTGGATTTCGATAGGATTCCAGCCCTCATCGGGACTAAACCCATGGATTAACCTGTACTAGGGGAACCACGATACTGCACTACTGTGAAACCCATCGTCAAATCTGTCCATCAAAGGTGCGAGGTCCACTCGAAAAACAAACGCTTTTTATTCATCCTCCGATACAAGAATATGAATATTGTACCCAGGTTTCAGCCAGTTCTGCATCACTGTTACTGCGTTTCTGCGATTTCGTATTCTTATTTTGATATTTCCGGTGATTTATGTGTCAGTTTGGCGGGGAATTGATCAAACTTTCCCATTGGATTTCTGCAGTCAAACTAAAGAAGGAGTTTTGAGAAAATTCCGGATTTATAGGAGACAGTTGTGGAAAGGGTTATCACAAAAGTTTCGCTATCTCTTCTTCGTGTCCATTTTCCTCTATTAGAAGGGACAGAAGTGACAGTATAAATTGTTGAATTTCTCGAGCGGTTAGAAAGATAGCGATGTCATCTGTAAATAGGCTATTGCATAACGATTGAAATAATTAGCAAACCCATTCATTTCTTGACCAGATGTGATGAACCGTATCGACTTATTCAAATAAACCAGCAGAGGCAACTCCCACTTCTTCTTCATCATCAGAGTGGACCAGATCGCTTAAGTGTATCTTCCCCAACGGATCTTTTACGATACAGTCTCACAATGGTTTATAGCATCTTAATCATGTGGTCATTGGTCGTGGTACGAGAGCCTTACTGTTAATCGAAGCAGTCAATATTCATGGGATCAACATTTGAATTATACAATTAGAATAATGGAGATGATTTGTGACGTGTGGTTATATAACAAACTCATACACTCTAAAAATAAACCGGCAAAGTAAAATATGCAGCTGGTCTATGGTATCTGATATACGGCTGCGGGGTCATTTCGATAGAACTGGAAATCGAACATTTTCTCGAAATTCTTTCCTTCAGAACAGCATTGACAACATCAATAACAACAGCAACAACAACAACAACAAAGAAGAAGACAAAATGTGCCACAGTGTAACGTATGTGTGTGTTTTTATGCGATCGAACAAGCATGTATGCAGTGAAACCATGTTCCGTGTGGTTAGTGCATTGAATCATGTCGAAATATAGCGCTCACCACTTACCGGATACTTTTTTCATCGGTGGCTGAATGGTGAGAAATGCCGGTTCACTCATTCCAACTTTGTTCACGGCTCTCAGCTGCACTGCACTGTGATCGTGTGTGGGCAGAGTGAAATTCAACTGACTGTCAGTCAGGGTGTACGGGACCACGCGCTGCCACGTTGCGTTCGGCTGCGGCAATTTGTCGTGGATTCGGCTAAATGAAATACACATGGGTCACAGTGAGAGGATAAAAATGCAAAAACGAAAGGGGAAAAAAGTAACGGACCATACACACATATACAGAGACACAGACACCCGGGGCATTGACAACAACAGGTGAAGTATTAGCATAGGGAGTTTTTATCGGTGTGACGGAAGTCAGATCTTTGATCGAATTTGTACGTCTGTTTGATCACACCTTATTCGGTACACTCAGATGTCAGGTTTTGTCGAAGCTTGAAGCGCAAATTTTATTGTTCTTATGGAAAGGTAGCATGAAACACCGGTGATAATGCCTCAGTTATTCATGCCTCCCGTCTCCTATCAGTTGCGAT